TTGGAGATGCTGAGTCAGGCACGAGCCAGTCCCAGTTCCAAACCCAGTGGGAATTCTGCTAGGAGCAGACTGGCCAACCTCTGCCCCCAAAAACTTTGTTTCTGTTCAGTTTCCCAGAAATGGTTCAGTCATTCCAAAGCAGAGGGTTTCTGCTGTCCCTAAGGCTTGCCAGGGACATCCCAAAAGAGCAAGAGGGATTTGGGTTATGGAGCATCCCTGATTTGGAGCCAACAGGATGCTGGCAGAGCTCTGACAGGGACAAAGAGTTAAGACACTCAAAGAAGGGACAGAAACTCCAATAATGAGGCTTGGAAAAACCATAGGATTTCTTTTTAAGCAGCTTTCCCTGTTCTCACTGAGCCTTTCTCCTTGAAGGCAACAAACCAAGCACAAGGGAGGAGTGAGGAAGGGCAGCAGAGAGAAACCACAAAGACTGCTGCTCTGACCTCAGTGCTGAGGCTGAGCCAGGGGGTGCTGAAACTTTGCTGAGAACAGCCACACTCATAACAGTGCTGAGGGCTCTCCATCATTGCTCCTGCCTTATCATCCCAGTCCCAGCACTCCTGAGGAGCAGGGGGATGCGTAAAGCCCAACCTTGGGATGGAGCTGTGACCACACTGGCTCCTGGCCCCCCACCACAGCAGCATCCCAGCAGAAAACCAAAGTCCCAAGGGGGATTACAGCACTGGGTTGGTCCCCACAAACTGGGATCATGGCCCTTGCTCTCCCCACTGCTGTCACCTCCCCAGCAGCCTTGAAAAGCCCCTTATCACCCTCTAACCTAAACAAGTGCCTCTGTACCAGTCTCCTCGGCTCCGGCTTGGGCTGAGTTTTATAAACAATTTCCCCAAAGAGGCTGACGAGGGTGTTTGCTCTTGCCTTGGGCAGGCTGTGGCCGGGGGGTCCCTGCACCCCGGATATGACGGGCTCATGCCCCTGCACCCACGAGGGTTGGCCTCGTGGTGCCATTGGTCCCCAAACGAGAGCCCAGGGGTGGACAGCTCCTGCCCCTGGCTGGATATAAAGGCTGGAGGAGCAGCCCCAGCCCTCTGCGCTGGGTTTCCTGCAAGAAGGAAGGATGAGACCCGAGAGCAGCTTGATCCTCACTCTTCTCTGCTGGGCGATGGGCGAGGTGGCTGCCTACCCTCCCTGGGACTTCTCCTGGGGCAACTCAGCAAGCCACGGGACACAGGCAAACCACAACCCATGGGCCTGGGTGGAGGACTCCCCATCTCTAGCCACCCACAGCCGGAACCCGGTGACAGTGCAGTGCCAGGAGGCTCAGCTGGTGGTGACGGTGCACAGGGACCTGTTTGGCACTGGTCGCCTGGTCAGCGTGGCCGACCTGACGCTGGGGCCAGCAGCCTGCAAACACTCTGCACTCAACCATGCCCTGCACACTGTCATCTTCACTGCTGGGCTCCACGAGTGTGGCAGCACCGTGCAGGTAAGACCTTCTCCCTCCCACTGCTTACCCCAGTGCTGCAATCCTGCCGGGCAGCCCCACCTGGAGCTGCTCCAGGATTTTGGGCTGTGCACTGGGCATCCCCCGTGGTGCCAGGGGAGCTCTAAGTGCTGGATGCAGAGCACCAGTGAGGATCATTCTAGAGGAATGCTGAGCAGGTATTTCTCCCAAAATGGAGCATTTTTTCCCACAGCTGCTTTGGCCAGGCCACTGGAGCCAGGCCAATAGCACTACACCTGCGTGGGGAAGGGCAGGAGAGAGAAACCACAAAGGTTGTGGCTCTCACCTCAGTGCTGAGCCCCTGCTGAGAACAGCCGCACTCATGACAGTGCTGAGGGCTCTGCCATCATTGCTCCTGCCTGAATATCCCAGTCCCAGTGCTCCTGAGGAGCAGAGGGATGCATAAAGCACTTCCTTGGGAAACTTATTTCATTTCTGCTTTAGCCCAGTAGGAAGTTTAACTTGCTGAGAACAGAGCAGGGCTCCTTCTCCATTCCCTTTCCCCCATCCTTTCTTTGGATTTGCCCAGCATTTCCAGTTGGGAAAGGCTGGCTCTGTGGCCTGGTGGTGGTGCTGGGGATAAGGGGTGGCCTCTCTGATGATATCTCAATGCTTTTCTGCCCAGGTCACACCGGATTCTCTCATCTACCGCACACTGCTCAACTACGATCCCAGTCCTGCCAGCAACCCTGTTATCATCCGCAGCAACCCTGCTGTCATCCCCATCGAGTGCCACTACCCCAGGTGAGACCTCCCTGCCCTTAGTAGCCCCATCCTGGTCCCCAGGGGTTGGTACAGAGTCCCATCCTGATGTGTGGTGGTCCTTGTCCAGGAGGGAGAACGTGAGCAGCAATGCCATCCGCCCCACCTGGGCTCCCTTCAGCTCCACACTGTCAGCGGAGGAGAAGCTGATGTTCTCCCTGCGCCTCATGAATGGTAGGTGGGAAGTCACACCAACATGTAGATAGGGATTTTCCACCTTTTCCCAGTGCAGGAGAGGTACCCAGCACCTCACTGGGGACACCAACCCACCCCATGGCAAACCCCTGCTTTCAGGCTGAGCCTTGGCTTTGCTTCCATGGGAGTTTGGGCACAGCTGGAGCCACCCCCTCTTGGTTGTCACCCCTTGCAGATGACTGGAGTGCTGAGAGACCCTTCACTGGTTTCCACCTGGGTGATGTCCTCAACATCCAAGCGGAGGTGGGCACAGAGAGCCACGTGCCACTGCGGCTGTTCGTGGACAGCTGTGTAGCCGCGCTCAGCCCTGGCACCGACTCCTCACCCCACTACACCATCATTGACTTCAATGGGTGAGCCCTGGGGACATGTCTGTGGTGGCACTGGGTGGGTAGGGGGACGCACAGGGATGCTGAGTCCCCACCCTGTCCTACCCCAGGTGCCTGGTTGATGGAAGATCAGATGATACCAGCTCTGCCTTCATCGCCCCCCGGCCCCGGGAGGACATGCTGCGTTTCAGGATCGACGTCTTCAGGTTCGCAGGGGACACCAGGAACCTGGTAAGGCTGTATGTCCCCCTGCCAGCCCCAAACCACTGTCCCCCACCTGCAGTCCTCACGTCTCCCCCTTGCCCTCCCTCCAGATCTATATCACCTGCCACCTGAAGGTGACTCCAGCAGACCAAACTCCAGACTCCCTGAACAAGGCTTGTTCCTTCAACAAAGCCAGAAACACGTGAGTAGCTGCTGCACCAGGCTGGGACACATCCCCATCAGTATCCCACAGCCCTGGCGTGGTACAGGGATGCATCATGGACCCAGAGGTGGGGGGCAAAAATGCTCTGTGGGTGCCATGAGGAGGTCTGGTGATGTTCTTCCACCCCTGCTTCAGCTGGGCCCCTGTGGAAGGCACCCGGGACATCTGCAGCTGCTGTGAGATGGGCAACTGTGGGTCCCCTACAGTGGCCAGGGGCCTCAACCACCTAGACAGATGGCCCAGTCGCCGCTTCCGCCGTCATGCCAAGGGTAAGGTCCCTATGGGGTCAGAGGGGGCATCAAGGGGTGGTAGGACGAGCTTCCCTCATCACTCCTTCCTCCCTAGGTGAAGAGGCTGAGGCTGACGTGGTCATTGGCCCCGTGCTGCTCTCAAGGGACCTAAGTGCTGTGAGACAGCATCCAGAGGGAGGTCAGGGTGAGTCTCCACTGGCCACAGCCCCATGGGTCATTTAGTACAGCAGGTCCTTCACCTATGAGTCCTGTGCCTTGGAAAAGCTTCCTCTGAGTTGCATTTGGGACTTTTCAGGAGGGTGGGGAGTGGAAGGCAGCAGGGTGGAGGGTGGGGATCTGGGTTGTGGGATCCTTCTCGTTTTCCCTTGAGTAGGCAGGAGCCTGGATTGGAATGGGAGATCCTGGGTGAGTTGGGTGATGAGTAGGGCCCTCCATGGATCTTCCATGGGGGCATGGTGCAGAGCAACCCACTAACCAAAGAAAGCCACTGTTTTGCTGCTAATGGAGATGTGAGTTCTGTTCCAAGAGAAGGGACTCCAAGCCATCAAGAAAAGGCATTTTGTAATGCAATGCTGGTTTGGAGAGGGACACTCAACCTCAGGAGAGTCCCACTTTCTGCCTCAAAGCTAGGTTTCCATCCTGGAAAAGATCTCTCCCAGATCCCATCCAGGATCTCCAGATAGCACTGAGAACTTCAGCATTTCTGTGAGAAGCTGGATTTGACTGTCAGCACAGCCCTGACAAGCACTGACAAGTCCTTTGGTCTTTCAGGTGGGGGGAGAGCAGTGCTCGGCGTGGGGACAGGGCTGCTGTGCGTGGTGATCGTTGTGGGTTTGGCAGGAATGGCACTGGCCATCGTTGTGGGGCGCAGAAGGTGTGTCCATGCCTCAGCCTGAGCACAAGCCAAAGCCCAATAAAGCCTGGGAAAGACAAAATGCCTCTGTGGTGCTCCCTCTGCATCCTGGGGACATGGCTGGGAGGGGGCATCCAGCCCCCAGCATGTGGGGTGCTGCAGCCCCCAGCTCCAGAGGAAGACCCCACATTACCCAGCCCTTGCTGGGGCTCAGGTTTGGAGCTGCCCCACTTGTGGGTGACACTAGGGATGGTCCTCTTGCCTTAGAGGAATTCCAGCTGGGCTTCCTGACCTCCAGCTGCCAATCCTGGGGGAAGTGGGGACACAGCAGGGTGCAGAGCCCAGCCTGGATGACCTTAGTGGGGAGTGGGGCTGCACCAGCCCTGCAGGGCTCCAGGAACATCCCCCACAGCCCCTCCCAGCCCATGTCTCAGGGCTGGGAATGGCCACTCAGCCTCTGGTTCTCCATCCCAGCACTTGGGCTGGTTCTGAGCCGCAGGATCACCCCCACAGCTCTCAGCTTGTTCCTGGGCTCAGAACCACAGTGCTTGGTCCCCACCTGGGGGGCCTGAGTCCCCAGGCTGTAGCTCCATCCCCATCCCTACGGGATTTATCCAGTTCCAGGCCCAGTCATTGCTCCAACATCACTTTGAGTCCTTATTCCAGCCCTAGGGTCTTCATGTCCCCTCCAGCCCCACAGTCTGTGACTCAACCCCAGCCTCTGCCCTCCAACCTTTATTTAATAAACTTTGTATAGGTAATACTAGAATAAACCAATAGAATGCAGTAAAAATTATAGTAGCAGAATAAAATAATAGTAGTGGAATAAAAGAGCTTAATTATCTTTAATTGTAATAGTTCAAGCTACAAACCTCCGCGAATCTCCTCCCACCCTGCGACAGCCACGGGCATCACGCCCAGTACCCCCAGATCCACTCCCTGAGGATCTCCCAAACTTTTGTCCAGCGGGGTTCCCTCCCGGTGCCCCCAGATCCACTCCCCGAGGCTCCTCCAAACTTTTGTCCCTTGGGGTTTTCTCCCAGCACACCCAGATCCACTCCCCGAGGCTCCTCCAAACTTTTGTCCCTTGGGGTTTTCTCCCAGCACACCCAGATCCACTCCCCGAGGCTCCTCCAAACTTTTGTCCCTTGGGGTTTTCTCCCAGCACACCCAGATCCACTCCCCGAGGCTCCTCCAAACTTTTGTCCCTTGGGGTTTTCTCCCAGCACACCCAGATCCACTCCCCGAGGCTCCTCCAAACTTTTGTCCCTTGGGGTTTTCTCCCAGCACACCCAGATCCACTCCCCGAGGCTCCTCCAAACTTTTGTCCCTTGGGGTTTTCTCCCAGCACACCCAGATCCACTCCCCGAGGCTCCTCCAAACTTTTGTCCCTTGGGGTTTTCTCCCAGCACACCCAGATCCACTCCCCGAGGCTCCTCCAAACTTTTGTCCCTTGGGGTTTTCTCCCAGCACACCCAGATCCACTCCCCGAGGCTCCTCCAAACTTTTGTCCCTTGGGGTTTTCTCCCAGCACACCCAGATCCACTCCCCGAGGCTCCTCCAAACTTTTGTCCCTTGGGGTTTTCTCCCAGCACACCCAGATCCACTCCCCGAGGCTCCTCCAAACTTTTGTCCCTTGGGGTTTTCTCCCAGCACACCCAGATCCACTCCCCGAGGCTCCTCCAAACTTTTGTCCCTTGGGGTTTTCTCCCAGCACACCCAGATCCACTCCCCGAGGCTCCTCCAAACTTTTGTCCCTTGGGGTTTTCTCCCAGCACACCCAGATCCACTCCCCGAGGCTCCTCCAAACTTTTGTCCCTTGGGGTTCCCTCCCTGCCCCTCTCTGCAGCCTGTGGCGCCACCTGCTGTCCGGTCACGGGTCCTGCAGCCTCCCGCTCTCCCTCCGCCCATTCCCTGCTCGTCCCTGCCATGCATCCCGCAGCTCCCCATCCATCCGTGTTAGCCTCCCGATCCCGTTCTCCCACCGCCGGGAAGGTCCCTGGGATCGTGCCTCGTGGAGAGGACCAAGAATGGGCATAGCGTCAGCAAGGGAGAATGGGGTGGGTTAGGGGGAGGACTGGAGATGGGGGACCAGGAGTGAATGAGAAGGACACAGGGCTCGGGAGGGGGACAGGACGTCGAGGATGGGGAAAAGGACATGGAAAAGGATCTGGAATGGAGGACAGGATTTGGAAGAGGGGGGTAAAAGGACCTGGCAGTGGGAGAAACGACCTGATAGGTGGGGACGAGATGTGGAAGAGGGAGAAAGGACCTGGCAGAGGGGGACAGGGTGTGGAAGGAGAGGAAAAGGACCTGGCAGGGGAGGACAGGGTGTGGAAGCAGGGGAAAAAGGACCTAGGAGGGGGACACGACCTGGTAGTGGAGGTCAGGAGCTGATGGCAGGGTTGTGGCTCCCAGAGCACACAGGATGTCACTAAGAGGGTAGTAGTGGTGTGCCCACACCTCCTCCCCAGTCTGGGCAGGCAATGAGGAGCACTGGGGGTGTTCTGGGGAGCACACCCTTCCCCCCCATGGGTTGTGCCTTTTGGTGCCCAGCATTAAAGTCCACCAGTCACATCTGAGGAGAGCTCCCCATCTTGGATGGGCTGAAGACATCTCTCAGCGGATGTTTGTGGTGCCACTGTGGCTCAGTTAAAGACCAAACCCTCCAAAGCAACGTGTTTTAATGATTTCTGGTTTTAAAGCTTGTGAAAATAATAATAACATTAATAATAATAAAAATAACAGACCAAGACTTCCAGTCATCTCAAGGACTCTGTATGGTTGTAAGAGCTGGACAGACAGAGTGAGTTCCCTGTTAAGGCAACAGGATTTCCAGCACCTTCTATCCCAAAAGTATCCAGAGCATCCAGGCCTCGAGGAGAGGGGTTTGAGCATCCTTCCTGGGGCAGCACCTCCAAATCCAGGCTGTCTTCTTCCCCCTGGGGGACATGGCGTGGCCAGAGACCCTCTCCAAAAATGCTGAAGGGGTTAAGGACTACAGAGCTAATATGCATTTACATCGTTTATACAGCACTTAGGGGGCCCTGCCTTTATTCCAGCTAAAACCTAGCATTGGATTCCCTCAGGAAATGGGGAAAAAAAAAGATTAAAGAAAAGTTAAGTAGAAAAACTATTTCAAAGAGTCATTCTGGCTTTCCTCCTTTGAATGTGAAGGCATGAGGAGGTTTTGGGGGTCTCGAGGAGCTGCTGGGGTCTCTGGTGGGACACAGGAGCCAGCTCAGGCACTTTCTGAAGAGGGGAACAGAGGTTGAGGCAGGTGGCATCCCTCCAGCCCTGCTCCCATCAAGATCTGAAAGAAAAGAAAACAATATCCCAGGAAATTTGGTATAAACAGCCCAAAAGGGAGCTAGACATCAACCTCCAGCACCATCACCAGCCATATCCAGCTGGTTTTTGGGTGTTCCCAGAGAAAACACAGGTGAAAGGGAGGAAAAAAGGAATTAAACTGCTTGGGTTAGACCCCCAAGGTTTTTTGGGGGGGGCAGAAGAAGGGAACAGAACAGCTAGAAGAGGACAGGGAAGGACAGACGAACTTCTCCTTACTGGGAAATCTTGCAGTTTGTGGTGGAGACGTAGCGACCTGTGTAATGGATGTTGCACCTCACTACGTTGTTGGTGAAGTCTGACTCCAGGACGATGTATTTGGGGTTCACTTGAACCTAAAAACAGGAGAAAGGGAAGGAAAAACACTTCATAAAATTAGTAAGAAGGGGAGAAGCAGTGTCTAAACCCATCGTAAAGGGATGGCACCAAACAAGATGCATGGTCCCAAATCCAGGGGTTGGGAGATCCCAAGCTGATCCCAAATCAGGAATATTTGCCCCTTCAAATCCCCCCAAGGACTCTGGCCACCTTTAGGACATAATTCCCTGGCTGCACATCTGTTATATCGATCCACTGGCAGTCGATGTCAGCATTGTAGGTGTCGTAACAGCCTGGGCTCAAACCCTGTGGCGACAAAAAAGGGGGTTCAGGTGTGTTGGGGAGTGGGGGAACCCCCAGGAGCCCTTTCCTCAGCCCCCCAAAAGCCACCTGGGTGTGGGAGGTGCAGGCATAACGCTTCAGGTTGCCGAAATCACAGGTGGTGTCCTCGAGGCAGAAGCTGGCCTTGTGGCCCTCAGCCACCTTCCTCCCCGTGGTGGCATCCAGCAGGTCGTAGTGGCTGAACTCATCCATGCTGTGGTAGTGCCTGGGGTTGGGGTGGAGGGTGACATTCAGGGTGACCCCCCAAATGGCACCATGCCCTCTCCAGGTGTGATTTTGGAGGCTCCACATCAAGCCAGTTTGCCAGCTCCCTCCTTCAGAGTCTCTGGCCATGCTGTGTCCCCCAGGGGGAAGAAGACAGAGATTTGGAGGTGCTGCCCCAGGAAGGATGCTCAAACCCCTCTCCTCAAGGCATGGATACTTTGGGGATAGAAGGTGCTGGACATGGCAGGAGAGAGAGGGGTCTGAGGTGAGGGGGAGGAGGAGACAAGGAGGGTCCTGGGGTGAGGGGAAGATGGGGACAAGGAGGGAGAGAGGGTGGTCCTGAGATGAGTGAGACATGGAGACACAGGAAGAGAGAGAGAGGTCCTGGGGCAAGAGGGAGATGAGGACAAGGAGTGTGGTGGCTTTGTGGACCAAGAGGTGAAGCAAGGTGACCTCCTCCCACCAGGATCTCAAAGCAAAGCCACAAACTGGGGTAAACTGCATTCACAAAGCCTTAAAGCTGGTCCCAGGGTGGGTTTCTGGGGGGGGTGGGACACTCACTGGTGGCAGCTGTGCCATTCCCAGCTGTGCCGGGGGCGGCTGGGCAGGAAGTCAGCAGTGCCCTGGTTCTTCACCCGCTGGGGGAAGCGCAGCAGCACCCGCACGTCGTAGTCCGTGGCTTCGGCTGTGTAGGCAGTGCTGGGGACACCAAGGAGGGTGTTTCTTCAGCCTCCAGCCCCCGGGGGACAGAAACTTCCCAGGCATGCAGGGTCAGCTTCCCCCTTCCCTTTCCTTCTCCCATCCCTTCCTTCATCCTCCCTCTTCTCACTT